CTTACGATTTAATTTGAAAAAACCTGTGAAAAATATGACACTTTTTTATTGGCATATTTTAAAATATAAAAGTAATGCAAAATGTAAATTAGCAAAAAAATAAAAAATAAGATATATTAGAGAAAAAATTAACCCTTTAAAAAAACCAAAATTATTATCCCGAGTTATCTCGTCACAGGAAAATTAAGTGCTAAAAACGTTTGCCAATAAAAGCGTATGTATATTTTATATATTTGATTTAGTGTGATAGTCTTTGAAGCATGATACCACACATAATGGCACTTGACAGTTGGAAAACATATATTATTATCTCGTTTCTTTTCGAACTCTTTTTCCGGTGTTATCCCTTTTTCTGCTACGCATTGCACATCGACGTGTCGGATTATTTTTCTTCTCTGTTGGAGGAACATATTCTGGGAAATGTCTATTAGATAAACGAAGAGGCGCTAGAGTCGATCCAGGGCGACCAAAGACATAACTCTATCAGATGGTAGAATATTTTCTTGTAGTATACCTTTCTATATTTGCTGGTTATAGGGTAATCGCTGATATGCTGGTCAACTGTATCAATTCCTCCCATTGTAGAATTTATTTTAGTCATTTATTAATATTAGTTTTACCCTTTCTTTATTTTGTTTTTTTTTTAACTATAGTATCTGTGGTATGGACAGTGGAAAGCATAATTATATCTCTTTTATCTCGCCGTCGTAATGCTAATAATTTTCTACGTTGATAACCAATAATATTTCTTTTTGGGACTTCTTCTGTGTGCACGAGTGGTGGCATTTCTTTTCGTTTAGCTTTTGCGATTTTTTTTTGTAATCACAAAATCGAACAGTTAAGGAGATGAATAAAAGTTGTCAGTTATGAGGCAATGGCCCAAGTCGAATAGCGGCTCCATAAGAGATAGTACAATTTGCGATGTAAATCCGTAAGTTGCATAATTTTGGTTGATAACAGTTCCTTTGCAGGTATATATTATAAACGACCAAACATAACCTCTTTTAGACTTGCATAACATATAACTTTTATGTCAAATATTTTCCATCCAAGTCGTCCTTTGCATCATAACAAACTTTCGTCCATAATAACAAAACAGTGGCTTAGAAACTACAATATTCAACCAACTGATCGGGGGTGATTTTCAAAAGATTGGTCGTTGCATCCATTAAAAAGGGGAGAGTAGTCTGCACCTGAACTTTTACACTTTTAAAAGTTATATTTTGTCACTGCAAGAAAGGTTTCCGTGCCTCATATAGCTGCAGCAAACTAAGTTATTTTGTAATCCAACTTGATTTGGTTGTTCTGGTGATAACTGTAGTAATAGTATTTTAATAATGGAAGATGCGGAAGAATATGAATTCATCAAGAATTCATCAAGAATCGAAATTCTGGGAGAGCATATTACCATAGATATCAACACAGTTCAAAAAGCTATAGCAGGGATGAAGAATGGGAAAGCAAGTGGACCAGAGGGAGTAACTACGGAATTAATAAAGAATGTCTCAGAGAAATTACACAGAAAGATCACGGTGATATTTAACGAATATATTAATGGACATCCAACACCAGATGAATGGAAAACAGCATATATGACCCCAATATATAAAAAAGGTGACAGGAGAAATTGTAAAAACTATAGAGGGATATCGGTCACAAGTTCAATGAGTCGACTATACGGTCGAATACTACGGGACCTGATAGAGGAAGATTATCAATCGTCTGAAGACGAAGAACAAGGAGGATTTAGAGCAGGTCGTTCATGTACAGATAACATCTTCTGTCTTAAACAAATTATAGAAAAGAAAGTTGTGACAAATAGAGAGTTACATATGACTTTTGTAGATCTTGAGAAGGCATATGACACAGTCCCGCTAAATAAACTATGGGAAGTCCTGGGCACATCAAATATACATCAAACATTGGTTAGTGCTCTCAAAGATCTATATTATGGTTCAAACTCCCAAATGAAATTCGGAAATCTCTTAGCTGAAAAATTTGCAGTTAATAAGGGTCTCAGACAAGGATGTTGTATCTCTCCGACTCTGTTTGAGATTTATATCTCTGCAACTCTGAAACAATGGAAAAGGAATGTCAAAGGAATGGGTATACAATTGAACGATCAGGATTACATATATACTTTACAGTTTGCAGATGATCAGGTGGTGATCTCAAATGACAAAGACGACATGGAATACATGCTTAGAAAACTAATTAAAGAATACCAGAAATGGGGATTAAATATCAATTTAGAAAAGACAAAATACCTCTCAATTGGAGCTGAAGCAGAACAACTCGATATCGATGACAATCAAAAAGTAAATCCATGTGACGAATATAAATACCTGGGCGTCATCTTCGACCGTAGTGGAAAAGACGAACGAGAAATAGAACATCGAATTGTACAAGCACGAAGAGCTATAGCATGTTTGAACGGAGTTCTATGGAGTAAAGAAATATCAAAGAAAAGAAAATGGAACATCTATGAGACAATGGTTAAAACTAGCCTACTTTATGGAGCTGAGACATGGAGAATAACCGAGAAATATAAGAAAAAGGTCGAAGCCACGGAAATGGATGCCATCAGAAGATCGATGAGAATATCAAGAGCCAACAGAATACGGAATGAAGTGATAAAACAACAAATGGGTATAGAGGGCACTATAGTTGAGGATATTGAGAGAAAACAGCTCATATGGTATGGACATGCGAGCCGAATGGGGACGAAAGATTGCCTAAAAAAACGATGATGTGGCAACCCCAGAGAAGAGGAAACGAGGAAGACTACCACAGAGCTGGAACCTGGGAGTTAGGAAAGCGATTAGCGCTCGAAATCTGGACGAAGACCTAACTCAAGACCGAATACAGTGGCGGTTGGGAGTCGGACAACGTCGTAAGACGTTATAAAACCGAATGTATATATATAGATGCGGAAGAAGGTGGTGGAAGAAGCGACACGAATGTAGAAAATGAAGTTTCAAATTTAATAATGAATAGTATATATGAGATTTGATTTATAAATGTTATACGATTTACAAATATTTTGATGGGAAATTGTATTATTATAATTGTAAATATATATTAAAACATTGTATTAATTTTATGTTTCGTATTGCATATTTTCTAAATGCAAAACATCTTTAAAAATCAATGCGTATTGAAATACATTTGACTTTCCTATTTAGTTACATTATTTTCATTCAAGCTTTATTTAACTTAAATGATAGCTGTAGCAGAAACATAATGTACTTTTGAGTAATTTTTTAATGTATAAAATGAATTGCAAAATGCAAAATAATTTAATTAAAAAGCGAAAGGCGATTGCTGCAAAAAGAGCAGCTAATAAATTGGAAAGAGAAGAACACCTGAGAAAATGCGAAGAATTTAACCGCAAAAGGTTAATTTGTTTTTAGCATGTTTTATAGTGTTAAATTAATATTGTTTTAGAGCATTTTCAAGGAAATTATTTGTAACAAACTTAATTATAAATAATTGTTATATTAAAAGTATTTAATATCCACCAAGAAAAGATTACATATAATTTTAATGAAATTAATTTATGAAGTGTAATAATTAAATATTAGTATTAAAATAATGAGTTTAAAATTATTTGCAATAAAAAAGTCAGTTGTATTTACACAAATTATCTGAAAATTTAAAATGCGCGAATCGGTGTCGCTTGTTTCACATGTAAACAAATAATGCTTTCGGGCGCGGGCATTGTTTACATCGGTCGGTGGAGTTAGATAAATATTGACAAAACATGGATCACACTTACGTTTTTTTTTCACCCGTATTTAAATCGAATTAGAATCATTACTGTCTGTCTCTTTATTATGATTAAAATATTGAAATATAACGCGACTAAATTTTTGATAAAATTGTAACAATTTTAGAGTTGATGATTTAATGTTTTTAATTGAGATACTACTCATCATGTCAAAAAATATTTTGTTTTAAATAATTTTTTTTAATGGCTTTGGATTATTGATCCATTCAGCCACGATATTATACAAAAAGGAAGTGGAAACATTAAATTGACCTCTATTTAAACTCTTAATTCAGGATCCTAACCAACTTAAATTAATTTACAAATAAGAAATATACAAATAAGAAATATACAAATAATACTTAATGCTAATACTAAATGATAATAATTAATAATTGTCACAGCGCTAAGACATAAACCCGGTTTTCCGGGTTCAGCCATGGTTAGGTCGTGGAAAACACGAAGCTGATAGACCAATCAGAATTGAAACAGAAACCTTTGGTTTGTGATTGGTCAGATTATGTGAAAATTTTAAGATGAGTGAAATAAACGAAATTATTTATAACGGCATTAGAGTATGCCTTTAAGATTGTCAATTAGGACTACAGAGAAGTACCAATAAACGACGAAAAACATACCAATTAGCCCCACAAGAAAAGTATTTGACCAATGCGTTTTAGCGGTCATGACCTGTGGGGTGGAAACTATGATTTTTACCAAGACCTCAGCTTTGAAATTGAGAGTGGCATAGAGACGAATAAAAAGCAGAGTCTATTCTGGTATGGTAGTGACGTTGCGGGACCGAATAAGAAACGAAGATCTGCGAAGACGGACAAGTATTGCTGATGTTGTCGAACGCATAGGGAAACTAAAATGGAACTGGGCAGACTATGTAGCAGAAATACATGTTTAATGGAGGCCTATGTTCAGCAGTGGACGTGATAAATGAAGGTTAGATGATGATGTGATCACAATCAAGGCTCTTTAATGACTATAAGGTTATCTTGCTAAGACAACACAAGAAATTTTACACGTTCGAGTAAAGAAGTGATTAAACGACGAATACATTCGTGGTTTAATCACTTGTCTACTCAAATATATGCTTTTAAATTGTATTTTAATTTGATAATGGCATCTAATCTTTATTAAATTTATAAAACAATAAACAAATACTGTTAATTTTTTTACAAAATATTGTTTACACAAAAATCACGTAGGTTTAATTTTTTAGGCATAGGATATGACATAGTTCTTCAGCTAGCCTCCAGAGGGTGCAAAATTATCATAGCTAGCAGAACAATTGATGAAGAGTTAAGACAACAAATTATACACGAAACCCATAACCCAAATATAGTACTAGAATATGTTGATATGACTTCCTTTAAATCAGTACGACTATTTATAAGTAGGCTAAAACGATCTGAGTCCAAATTAGATATATTAATTAATAACGCTGGAGTTCCTTTTTCTTCAAATACAACCGAAGATGGCTTAAATGAAACAATGCAAGTTAACCATTTTAGTGGATTTCTACTGACTCATCTACTTGTGGGTAAGAACAATATTTAATATTTATATTGTAGTGTGTTTTATTGTCTCGATGAACTTTGCAAACAAATATAGAAAGTGTAGCTGTTAAAATTCTCTCGCCAGTCAACAGACACACATGCAATGTATATATACCTTCTAATACAGGAAGTCAACCAAAATGCTTTGAAATATTATTAGAACAAATCAATTAGAACAAACAAAGGGGAATACAAATTAAAAACTTTTAAAATAGATCTGAATTTACTTTATTGAACACAGAAAAAAAAACAAACTCTACTATAGGTAACCATTTGTCTATTGATCCTTCGATGTGTGATTGTTCATTAACATAACAACCGATTTAACCACGACAATAAAAACATCCAGAAAAATAAAAAAATTAAAATTAGCTGTAAAAATCTAGAAAATCTTTATATCTATTAAAATACGACCAGCAAAGAGATATCTTTGTTTAGGGTACTTGTCCATTTCGAACGTTGGTGATCATTTTGGCTGTGATAACTTTGCTGGTTGCTATAGGAAATAGCTGTATTGAGGTCTTTCTATACCATATTCTTAGGTTAGCAAGAGGATATTCTTCTTCATCCATCGTTTTCCTTTAATATTACTTTGCAAAATGCATTGGAGTAGCTCGTACCTGCCCTAATTTCTTATTATATGTCCCAAGTACTGCAGCTCACGCCCCTTTAGGATGTTGACCATATCCGCAGTTGTGTTCATCCTTCGCAGTACTTCTTCATTGGTGACTTTGTCTGTCTATGGTATCTTCAGGATATTTCTGTATAACCATATCTAAAAGCCTGAAGTTTTAATAGAGTTTCCGCTTTCAATATCCACGTTTCTATTTCGTACAGAAGCACTCAGTAGCACCTAACATTTAAGGAACCTTATTTTTGTTTCTACGGCAAGCTCATGGCTCTTGAACTCAGAGCTCATAGTCAAGAATGCACTTTTTACCTTTCCGATGCGACATTTAATCTCTTACGTATTGTCCCACGACTCATTGATTATAGTTCCTAAGTAGTTGTATTGTGAGACACGTTCAATTCTCATTTGGTTCACATACAGATTTGCCCCAGTTATGTTTTCCTTGCTGATGATCATTAGCTTGGTTTTGCTGGTGTTTATATCCAGTCCATATGTTCTACTTATTTCCGTTATTTTGTTCATTAAGTTTTGCAGCCCTTCTATGCTATTGGAAAACATTATTGTATTACATGCATACCGCAGGTTATTAAGCTTGACTCTATTTATTGACATGCCTTAATCAATATCTTTTAGAGGCTCTTCCAAAATGTGCTCCGAGTACAGATTGAATATTAGTGGTGCAATAAAAACGCGTAACTTATCATAAACAATTATAAAATACTTTAAAACAAAAACAATTAAAACACCTCATTTTCCGTGATTTTTAATTTAATATTGCGTGCTTTAAGGTCAATGGAAGTCTTTGTCAACCATCACTTGTATTTAAATTTTTTGGCTATTTTCCAATTTCTATTGCTTCCGTGATTCAGAAATAAACAGCCATGGACAATACGTTGGACGGACACGCGATAATATAGCTGAAGTTCTGCGGAAAATACGCAGAAATGAGCTCAGAATGATAAAATGTTTTTTACTGGATACGCGCAAGTCAAGGGATACCTGCATACAATGAGGTGTTTTTTAGCTGCAGCCTCGGTGGCAGTGAAACTTAGACACTAAAATTATATTTTGCTGGAGACTACCATATAACTCCAAAAATATTTGGTAGCCATTCATTAGACCTGTACATCCTGATACAGACTTTCAGAATTCTAGAATTGGTATCTTGAGTAAATAGAAGAGGTACAATAACCCAATTGGCTGTATGTACTAATATGGTTGATAATAACGTCCGAAAAAAAACTCTTTCTAAAAGCTGAGTATTTTATTAGTTTTAAGTTAGGGTAATCTTTTATAGTATAAAATAAATATCTTTCGTTTTTAGATCTTCTGAAGAAGTCCGAAGGTGCTAGAGTAATTTTTGTGACATCATGTTTGGCTTATTTTCACACTCTAACAATGAGATCTGTTAAAGGTTTTAAAATTTATAATTCTGTGTTTAGATACTTTGACTACCCCAATTCCAAATTCTGTAATATAATAACCGCTGACACGTTTGCAATGAAATTGAAACGATGGAATATTACTTGTAACAGTTACCATCCTGGAGTAGTAAAAACAGGGATATTTAAAACAGCTGAGAAAAGTTTGACGAATTTATTTGATATTGCAATGTATTATTCTACAGTACCTATAGTGAAATTGGTTGGTGTGGTAAGTATAATATTTTTGTTTGTTTCAGATATTGCTAATACATTTACATGCTTTGTCTTTTCATATACAGGTTGAGTCATGATCAACTGTATATTCTCCTTCTTCGTATGGAGGCCCGATAGGGAATAACAGGTGACCATTAAAAAGTGTTTGCTTCCATTGTTTAATAATATATAGAGTGAGTTGTAAAGAGATCTATAGGAAGAAGAAGGCATTCATGGTTGAAAAACTTGAGAGAATGGTACAATTGCACCAATTACCAACTGTTTAGATCTGCAGCATCAAAAATGCTTTGATGATAGCCAAACTTCGGAACGAAGACGGCACTTGAAGAAGAAGAGTGAGTTGTCAATTTTGACTAAAATTTCTATTTGTTATAATTTTTAAAGGGTAAATTCGTCGTGCCTCGTATTTTGGTCAACGATTACAGTACACTATCAGCTAAACAACTTGTTGGAGAACTATAATCTCCAACCAAATAGTTATACTTCAAAACAAATAATTCAATTCAAAGCAAATAAAAATATTTTCGGGCCGGTTACCTAAATAAATCCAGTCTGCATTACTTCTTAGAATGTTAGTCTCCGCCTACTTGACCTTAGACCGGGCGCTATTCAAAATGCATAAACAAGTGTTTTCGGAGGGGCTGCGTAAGACAGTAAATTAGCGACAGTAGTAGGGCTCAGACCTATCTTTCAAGTTCGGAGAGTTTTTCTCCACGTTTGCCAGTTACGTAATAAGCCTGGAAGCCGTAAAATGTAAAGAGTGTTATGGTGTTTTCGGAAAAGTTCGTAAATTGTAAATTTCTAATTAGGTTCCTTACGTGTAGTTATTCACTCACAAATTTGAACTTTCTATTTCTTGCCCTTCTTCAATTACAGTTCTAGCTAAACAAACAATTGTTTTATTTCACTTTATATAATATATATTCAATAGGCCAGATTAAAGCACCTTTAAAAGTCCATTTAAGTTTCTTTACTGAGCTGTCGAAGGCTAGCGGACTAATTGGACTTACAGCAAGTACAAAACCGCTGAAAGAGACACTGTTAGCATACAAGACTCTCCATGGAAGGGATGTTGAAAACCGGCGTCCCTCCACAACTGATTTATTCATACCCTGTATACGGTTTTTAAAAACTCTAATAAGAATTTGTTACCATCGAACGACCCATCAGAAACGGTGGGTGCCACCAGAAACATGGGTAACAATGAAACTACCGCTGAAAGTTGAGAGCCAATGTATAACAATAAAACTTACAACTTTCTTTGGGAACCAAATATTTTAAACCAAGGTTGAAATACAAAAAGATTTTTTTTTATCATTACCAAGTCAAACGTGAGCATGTACACGTGTCTATTGCAAAAAATAAACATTCTATTACGCTATCGTTATATATTATTTTAAATTAATAACGTAATAGATTTTGCAATTATATCTCACGGCAAACTAGTCGTGAGTCAAGACAAATATGTTTGAATGGATTTGTTAATATAACATCTGGTATACCCTGTATTCTGTATTATTATTATTTTTTTATTGAATATAATGCGTCGACAACTAATGGTCATTGGCATGGTACAGTGAATTTTTACAGTCATGTACCTAGTGTAGTGTGTGTGTGTGTGTGTGTGTGTGTGTGTGTGTGTGTGTGTGTGTGTGTGTGTGTAGAGTAATTGTCTTGATACTTAGCAAAGTCGACGTCATTGTCTTTGCTAAGAGACGCTAATTGTATTCGAACGTCTGCGGCCCCTCCGGTGAGTACCAATCGCACAAGGATAGAAATTATTTTCATTTATTAATTTTTAATAAACGAAAATTTCTCCACCCAGGTGAGATTCGAACTCACGATCTTTAGGTTCAAAGGTAGGCGCTCTTACCACTGAGCCACAGAGATGTTAGTGTGGTATGGCCGTTGCCTCTGTATTATTTAAATGTTTAAATATTACAGATATAAAAAATCTGATATAGAGAGGACATCCATTTTGTCCTCTCTGTATAAGGTTTTGTTTCTGTCGAGTATGTCATTATTGGTCTGATGACTGTTTTGTAAATTCTGCCATTCGTTTCATTCCCGATATTTTTATTTTTCCATATTGTTTCATTTAGGCAGCCTGCGGCTCTGTTTGCTCTATTTACTTGATCTTCCACTTCGGTTTCGAGCTTTATGTAGCTTGATAATGTGATGCCTAGATATTTAAACTCCATCACTTACTCTATTATCTGATCTTCCAGCTCAAAATTTACATCTTAGTAAATTTGCTGTTATAACCATGCATTTTGTCTTTTTTTGGGAAAATTAACATGTTAAATATTCTGGTGGTTATATTAAATTGGTGCAGTATACGTTGTAAAGCATCTTCATTTTAAGAGAGTAGTATTGCGTCGTCTGCTTTATTTTTTAGTTTTTACTTACTTTATTATTTCATCCACAATCAAGTTGAACAATAGAGGACTCAATGAATCTCCCTGTCTTAACCCACTGCCATATTCAATAGGGTTGGTTAGTTTTTCTTCTACTTTTACTTTTATTGTGTTCTTTTGATAGATATTTTCGATCGTTTTGATTATTCCTAGAGGTATCTCTCTTGCATACAGTAAGTGGAGAACGTTTTCTAATTTGACCCAGTTAAATGCCTTTGTAAGGTCCATGAAACATAGATATGCCGTTTTGTTGTATTCTAATATTTTCCCTTGTACTTGCCTCATGATAAATATAGCGTCGATGCATGATTTTCCCGACATAAAACCTTGTTCTTCTGCTAGTGTTATCATTTCATTCAAGTTATTTGTTATCACTTTGGTTGTTAATTTTAGTGTTGTGTTTAGTAAATTAATTTCTCTGTAATTTTCCAGGTCCAATTTGTCTCCAAAAGTGAAGTTTGAAGTTACTAAATTACACCAAATGTAAGAATTTATCAAAAACAAAAGCACTCTAAATCATTTCTACACTGTTGAAATAAACATTTTGAAAATAAACTTAGGTTATTTCAGTAATGAAATATCAGGTTTCACAACAAAAGTATTTATTACTAAACAATTTTAATATCATACAGTCTATTTTGTGACTTTTTTGGATTTTTTCTTAGTGGCTGATATTTGAATAATATTTTTGTAAAATGGTTTAAACGGTTCCTCCACATCCTCCCTTTGGCCTCTAGTATTAGAATTGGGTCTTTATATGCCTTTTGAGTCGGCATTTTAACTGTGACATTGCTTGTTTTTGGAGTGGAAACATTGAAGGTACTTTATATCGTACCATTAGTGTTTTCACTACCTCGAATTCTGCCGGGAGCATCAACGCTGTAGACAAAATGATACAATTTGGAAATTCAGAACGAAATTCGTTAGTCCCTTGTTAACTTCTGTGTCTTGGTCGATGCACATGCAGACTTATAATACCTAGGCCACCAGTCTTTAAATTTTATAATACTTTCCCTTTTAATTTCACAGACCGTGAATAGGTTTTGGGCACTTGCGGTAACAATGATCTCCGTGTACTTATGGATATCAAAAACTCGGTCAAATTCTTTAGGGTTTATTTTAATAACCCCAAAACCACAGTAACAGTGAATAACTGAGCAACCTCGAATTGGGAAAATCTGCCTATGTCGGTTAAAGTCAAACACATTCTTGTAACCAGTGGTTTTTTTTGACCTGGGTAGTTGTCAGAAAACTGGCGTAGTTCTTTTACATTTGTTTCAGTATATTTTTCAATATAATCTAATAGAAAGCTGCCGACTTCATTCAGGTTTTTTCGTACTTCTGCTTCGTGGTAAATATAAAGAACGTATTTTCGTGACTTAATATTGGTGATGCAAAAAACATTAACGATAAGCTGCGACAGATAAATTAGGTCTTGTACAGGAATTAAAAAAGTTGAAGGTTTTGCAAAGAATCGAAGGCGATTGCTTCTACATCACCTCTTTGAATGCATTCCTCAAATTGATCATGTAGGGCAATGTAAATTTTTTTACTTCGGCTACGACTTTTTCGGCAACCGCTACTTTTTTGCTGCTTCACCAAGACTAGAGCTTTTAAACTTTAAATAAAGCTCCTCACAGATACTACATGTATCAGTTTGTAAAGTATCACAATGAGGTTAAAATTTTCATAACAAAATTTATTACAGAAACTCTATTTTACTGTACTCTCAGGATACGTTTTAATAAATAATTCGTGGATTTTTGTATTAAGTTTAGCATCTAAGTACTTAAATTCCTTATCAGAGTAATAAGACTCTTTGACTGGAAATGTAGTTATGTGGCTACAAATAAATTCCTTAGTTCAATCAATAATGTTCCCTTTGATATGTTTCCACTTTTATCTGTAGGTATCACAGCACCTAAATATATATATATATATATATATATATATATATATATATATATATATATATATATATTATATATATATATATATATATATAGTCCCAAGTTTCCTAAGAGGAACATAGGGCTTCCACAAAGTGTCTCCAGCGAACTCTATTTCTGGCTAGTGCTTTGATTTCAAGCCAGGATTTTCCCATTTTTCTCCCTTCGTCCAGTACTGTCCTTCTCCAAGTTCCCTTAGGTCTGCCTACTTTCCGTCGGCCTTGGGGATTCCAATCCAGCGCTGTCCTGGCAATGTCATTTGGCGGTCTACGGAGTGTGTGGCCCAGCCATCTCCATTTTCTTCGCCTTATTTGCTTTATGACATTTTCTTGGTTGCTTTGGTTCCATAAATTTTCATTGGAGATTCGGTTAGGCCAAAATATACGAAGGATTTTTCGTAACGCTCTTGATGAAAACTTGTAATTGGTGTACTATGGGTGCTGATATCTTCCACGTTTCGCAGCCATACAGTAATACAGCTTTTACATTTGTGTTGAAGATTTTTAATTTCGTTTTAGTTGGGTAAATCCTGGATTTCCATATGTTGTTAAGCATGTTGTAGGCGTTGCGAGCCTTATTTATTCTTTCATGTACATCACGCTCTGAACCCCCATTACAGTCAATTATGC